TGTGGTCATTGGGTGTTTCAAGGAAACTAGCTTTGCATATCCCATCAACTCTACTACCACCCAGGGCACGTGGCTCACCAAGCCTGGGAGATTATCTTCTGCACAAACCATGGGGAACTGCCAAACCCCATGAGGAAGACAGGATTCTCTTGTGTCTGTTCCACATCTAGGAGGTGATATACTTTTTTTATAGGAAAACTAACAGCTAGAACATGAGCATCTGGTTTGGACTTTTCCCTAGTAGTCAAAATGGGGACTAAAAGAAATTAAGGGTAAAAGAAATCTGAGCTCATAATTCATGAAGGAGCACTCAGCCCAGAAGAAGAAAAGGACAGTCAGGCACAAGTACAAAGGACTATTTGTCACCCAAGTTGAACCTGTCATGGTGCACAAAAAGAATATGTTAAAGACCTGCCAGTTGCCTCCTGTCCTCACACATTTTGTTCTAACAGTGGGGTGACTGGCTGAGTAAGCACTGACACACCTGTTGCAGTGCCTACTGAGATTTTGATAGATTTGCCCCCACAGTTGTGGTTAACACAGGTTCCCTGAGGCCAAGAGATAGAGGCCCATGACCCTCTCATTCTAAAGCTTCTCCCAATCCATCACAAGCAATTGTTTGTTTGTTTTCTTTCTGTAGTTACTTTTAACATCCTCACTTGAAATGTCCCTTCTTTTTACAATAGGCACATTAGTCAGGATCTAAGGGAAAGTGACGTCCTCCCAACTGAGGCCATTTCCCTTCATCTCTTTTTTCTTAATTTCTGACTGAGTGGCCTTCACGGGTTCTTTCTGATGTTCCTTCTCCTTTTCTTCCTCTTCCCTCTTTGTGGCCTCATCCTCATTATGATGCATCTTCTGAGCCACCTCCATCAACTAAGTAATACTCATTCTTGAAAACCCTTCCAATTTCTGTAATTTGTGGTGTGTATCAGGGGTTTACTGAGTAACAGAAGTCATATTAACAATGCAGACATTCCTGGGTGCCTGTCAGTTGAATGGAATTTAAGTTTGGTGTGCTTCCAGAAGGCACTTGAAGAATGCAGCAGAGCTTTCGTAGGTCCCTCACCACCTTTGTTAGGTTTCCAGGGTGTCTTGCAGCTACAATAGCCCTTTTCTCCGTGCCTGGTGGTGGGCTTCTAGCAGTCATATCCCATCTGAAGTGCTGGGGCTCCAATTAGGGGGTCACTTTGGGAAAATTGGTCTTTACTGCCTCTGCCTTGTCTTGTTCAGTACCCACAGTGTCTAATCTAACTTGGTCCTTGGCTGCTTTCCAAATTCTGTCACTTTCCTCTGAAGAAAATAAGGTTAGCAACAACTACTGGTTATCATTTCAAGTAGCATGGTGAGTTTTGAACACTGATATTAGCAAGGTAATCAGGGCTCAAAGTTGCTCTGAAAAAGGAAAAGTTTGAGTCTTCCATTTAGTGTTCATCAGTAGTGCTAAAGGGAACATAAACCATGACAGATTGAACATGCCTTCCCCTATCATGGACATCTGTCACAGGGGCAGGAAAGGGACATCAGAGGCTTCTGATGGGCTGGAATCTACCATGGGCTCTGGTGAAGACTGCCAACAGGGATGATGTGGAGGATGCAAAACAGAGTCAGATGAGCGCAGCCGTGGAGCAGGAAGGGATGTGGATGTGGGATCATCCTCTTCTGCGGCCAAGGGCAGCACAGCGGGTCTTTCCTTTGGAGATTTTCCTTTTATCATGAGCACTGATCAGGAGATCCACAGGGACACATTCTGAGCATGGTGGCAGCACTCAAACCATACAGAACCAGGAGTCAATGTAAGGAAACTGGTCCTGGTCCTGACTCCCTGGTCACAATGTTCCACATCCTACAGGTCACCTGTGGGTTGAATGCTTCCCCATATGACCAACCTACAGCAAAAGAAGTCTATTCTAGTTTACAAAGGGTACACAGCATCCCTGGTTTGATCTTGACTCCATAATCACCTTTAAACTTGTCAAAAATTTTAAGCATGCATTCCAAAACAGTTGGCTTGCTGCTAGCCAAACCCATAATAGCCTAATTTATATTTAAAAAAAAAGAAAAAAAAAAAAACTAGCCTACTCCAGCAAATCATCCCTCTCTACTAGCAGTCCAAACAAGAGTCCAAGCCTGAGGAAATTCGAGAAAATGGCTATTCCCTCAATGACACATAGCAGGTGATCAAGGTTTTTTGGAATTTGAACATCCAAAAAGAGGAACACACTAGTCAGGGAGGACAGGAGCAACAGAACCACCAGGAGGTCAAAACAGTAACAGAATCGACAGTGACCTGAAATCACAGGCACGTCAAAAATACATAAAGACAAAACAATCCGAGGGATTGCTTACCATTCCCGACCAGTAATGTGAAACAAATTCAGAAACAAGTTGAGTAAAACCAAATGTTCAAACACTCACACAGGTCTGTAGGCAGGCCGAGTTGTTCCATCCCATGGCCACAGCACCCTGCCTCACTTAAATCACCCCATGCCCTGCCATCCAGAGATCAACTGTCAAGGCGAGGAGGCACAGGGCCTCCTCAAGCAAGGACTTTTTCCGTGGACATTTCACTGGAGCCTCCAAATGTTGCAGCAGAATACTGAGAAACACTCATAGAGGCTGAGTGCAGATACAAGCAAGCTTTATTGCCAGCAAATAAAATCCCACCAGAGTGAAGAGCTTTGACATTCCTCAGGACAAGAAAATGGTGGTTTATGCAGAGTTAGCTCAGTTTCTAAAAATAGCGCTACTTTCCAGAAAGTTGGTATGAGAATTTCATCCAATCATGTGGAATCATAAGGCAAATCATGGGGGTGATTTTTGATTAGCTAGGCATTTCAAAATCTATAATAAATTTAGGAAATAAAACTTGAATCTGAATCTAAAATGGTGCAGGTTTACAAGATAGAATCAATGATGTTTTATTTTGCTTCATTTTGCTTTTCTGCATCATCTATTTTTCTTAAGTGAACACTGATTGCAATTATCTTCCTTCTTAGGACCGCTTTCATTGTATCCCATAGGTTCTGTGTGCATTGTTGCTTGCTTCCAGAAATTGTTTATTATTTTCCTAGATTTTTTTCTATAACATTGGATTTTCATGGGTATGCTGTTAAGTTTACAGTTATTGCTAAATTTTCTGTGGTTTCTTCTAGTTTTAGTTGATTTCTATTTTCATTGTGAAGTTTTCCAGTAGTAAATATGTGATGATTTCAATTCTCTCATATTTATTTAAGCAGGCTTTGTGGCCTGGTATCTGATCTATTTTTTGAGAAAGTTGCATGTGCTATTGCGTACCCTGGTATAGTTATCTATTAACAACAGGTCCACAGCAGGCTTGGAATTCATGTTTCAGTGCTGGGTGGCTTTGAATGACTGGAGGTACAGGCATGACTATCCAACTGGGTGGCATGTTATCGTCATGCATGTACCTCAGGTGGCTCAATCCACCTAATGGGACAGATATTCATGTACTACCAGTAATTTATGCTGGCAAGAACATGTTGAGTCCATATGTTCAAAGATGTGCTTCAACTCAGATTTTTTTTTAATTTTTTTGTTTAGTTGATCTCTTTTTGCAAAAGTGGGGAAGTGAGATCATCCACTATAATTGTCATGGTGTTTGATTTATGTCCAGCGGTATTTGTTTTATGAAGATAGATGCTCCGTTATTAGTGCATATGTATTTGAAAGTGTTATTTCTTCTTATTGGATCATTCCTTACTGAGTGTTTAGTGACATTGTCTCTTCTGATCAGTTTTAGCTTGAAGTTTAGTTTGAGAGTAAAATTGCTACACCTCCTTGTTTTGGGGATCTCAATTGAGGAAATATCATTTTTGATACTTTGATTTTTAGTCTATGAATATCTTTTTGAGTTAGATGAATTTCTTGAGTGCAACAGACTGTAGGATTCCATTTCTTGACTCAGTCTGCCCATCTGTCTTTTAACGTGAGGTCATTAACATTGAGAGATATTACTGATAAGAGTTGATTAATTCCTAACATGCTCTCTTCCCTGTTGAAGACGCCTTTGTTTTTCTTTTCCTTTTAATATTCTATTTGACTTGGTTGATACGTTCTTTCCATCCAGAGTTTCACCTTTGTTACTTTCCCTGTAGCTGCCTATTAAATTCTTGAATATTTTCTGAAGTGCTGATTTGGTATTCATAAATCTCTTGAATCCAAATCTCTTGGAATTTTTTTTTATCTATTTTGAAGAAAACTTTTGCCAGGTATATTAATCTGGGTTGGAAGTTTGTTTTTTAGTTGGATACTTCAAAGTCTTCTAATTCTTTGTGTTTTGTGTTTTGTTTTGTTTTGTTTTGTACCAGGATCAAACTCATGACCGTGCTTGCCAGGCAGGTGTTTGTGCTGCTGAGCTAAATCCTCTGCCCAAAGCCTTTTAATTCTTAAAGTTTGTGTGGAGAACTCTGCTGTAATTCTAATGAGTTTACCTTTATATGTGATTTTTGGCTTTTTCTGACTCCTTTTAAAATACATTATAACATCAAATACTGATATAACCAAAATTTTAATAGAAATATTTCAGAAAGACAGAGACATCAGAAACTATGCATATGTGATGAGTTTGAGGAGAGGAAAATCTTAGAATAATGTTTAAAATTGCAAAAAAAAGTAATATTATAAGCATGTTATTCAGAAAACTGGAGCAAAATAATCAGTTAAAAGAAGTTAAATTTGTTGTGTCAATGGGAAAGGTGGAAATGAGGAGGAGACTGCTGTGTGAAAAACAAAAGCCTTGCACAAAGGATGTTGCTTTGTGATAGAAATTACAAAATGTTCCTGTTTGAAAAGCTTTTCTATATATAACTTGATGTTAATGCTATTTTGTAAGAATTACCCCTACTATTCTTTGATAGCAAATGGAACTGGTGACTGTGGAACATTCTTTCAAAACTACAGTACTTTGTCAAAGCAAACATTTTCATGCCGCACAAATTGAGAATCTGAAATAAATGGAAACTAAAAGTGAACAACAATTCTCTAAATAAGGCAACCATTTATTCAAAAAAGGACAAAATCCAATAAACCAAGAATATCTCAGACAACGATCACCCATAGCCCAAAGACCGCATCTTGAAACACAGTGCTTTGACTCTAGGAAATTTTAGTATGTAAACCAACCTAGATGACATATACAACTTCCGTAGAAAGCATTACAATTAATTTCATAAGGCTATTAGGTCACTAACAATAAAGAGGATTCTAATTAATTAATTAATTTATGTATAGGGTTATAGATGGAACCCAGGGCCTCATATACTAGATCAAGCATTCTGCTACTTAACTACATTTTTTGCCTGAAAATTTCAAAAAGCAGCAATGCTGTTTTTCATTTTGATATATTTACAAGATTCCAGAGACTTGGCTAGAATAATTTCAATAAATATTCCAAAAGAAGTATTACCTGATACAAAAATATCAATGTGAAAGTTAATATTTTCTAGATACTATACTTAAATAGTAAAATCAGTGAGGATAACAGAACAATAATGTTCTTATTTTTAAACACTTTTCAAAGATAATTTCATGTCACCATTACGGACAGGTTATCTTTTTACTCATAATTTAGCACCTCACCTATAATTTCCAAGTGTCTCTATTCTTTAATATCTCCAATTTTACTGTAATTTTATGCATGTTGTATAAATATAGCACAGCACATAAATCCAGGAAAATCATTTGATTATAGTGCTAATTGCAGTATTGACTCTCACAACTTAGAAAATTACTATAATATTGCTATAATGTTAGTTAACAACTGGTATATAAACCAAAATAACTTGATTGTTTAAATAAAAGTAAACATTGAAATTTTTGTATTTTATTTTAGCTTTTAAATTGATACTGAACATAATTAATTAACCTGGGTAATATTTTCCTAAAAACTGATTTCATTAAAACCTATAAATTTGAATTTTTACTTACTAAAAATTATACCTTCATCTACCTCCTGTGTATATAGAACTAAAAGTTAATGAAATTGTATTTTGGGTTGGGATGTAGCTCAATGGTAGAATGTTTGCCTGGAATGAACAAGGCTCTGGGTTGAAAAAAAGAAAATTTTATTCTATTTCCTCAGAACACATAAAGGTCTTTAAATAAAGTTTGAAAGTTTCTCTAATAATAATAATGTAGCAAATAAGCAGTGATTGCAGGCCAGGGATTTAGCTCAGTGGCATAGCCACCTGGCTGACAAGCACAAGGTCATGAGTTTGATCCCTGGTACCCCCTCCAAAAAAAAATAGTCATTGCAAATTAATTTGTTCTTTCTCTGCTAAAACTGTGTTCTCTATGACATTTAACAAACCTACCTTATCCCACAGTGATTCTCTTTCTTGGTTTATTTAATGTAAATAGTCAGATAAGATTGCAAAAAACATTTTTATTTAACATTGTTACATATCAATATAAATTACATATATTTTTTTAAAAAAAAGAAAGAAAGTATTCAGCTTCTGAAGTAGCACCTTACAAAAAACCTTAAAACATAATGTGTTTGTATTCTGATTTTGAACTTGTGTTCTGCCAATCTGTTTTGATCAGTTATCCTAATAATAAACAAAACAGATGGCCCAAAAGAATTAGCAAGAATAAAAGATATAGTAAGTAAAATCACAAAACTCTGATCAGTTCTGCTTAACATTAAAGAGATTACAATAAAAGAGCTTGGCTAAATAAGGAGGTCCAAAGTAAGAAGTGGAATGAAGGAAATCACACCAGCACAGCAGCTGACTGTGACAGGAACAGTGAAGTCAGAGAATCCAAAGCAAGGCTGAGGATGGTTCCAAATTCCTAGAAAAACTCTAAAGTCTGCAGAGAAAGAACATGCAGGAAAGAATGGACAGAGTAAATAGTTCTCATCAACAGTTTTTGTGAGATTTTTAAAACAGAAAAAAAGAAACAAAATGCCTATGAAATGCAGATAAATTCTTAACATTCTGGAGGCCTTGAACCCTTCAGTGGTTTATCATAGAAGTTTCACGTCTGGTAACTATTTTCTACTAAAATAGGATTTTTATTCCTCCATACTGAAACTGTAGAAATGTTTCCTTTTTCATTTACATTAATCACTGAGAAATGGACTATGAGAATCTTCCAGAAAGCAATATTGTGATTGTCTATAACTCTTTAAGAAAAAGAAATAATATACTTTATACATGACACCTTCATTTGCTTTGCAAGGCAAACTGATTAATTCTGTCATAGAATCTTTGTTTGACATGACAAGAGTGTTTTTAATAACCCTTTACTGTTGTTACTCAAACGTGACGGTGGAAACACTTCATGAATCTATACATAAAGTTCTTTAAACAAATGTAATAAAACTACAGTTAACCCTTCTTGCATATTATACAAGTTACAGCTAAAACTGATCCTTTTATATTATTTTTCCTTTTACATTTCTGTAGTTGTACAAGTTGGTGTACATAGTATTTAAAAGTAAAATCAAAATAAGTACCAAGCACCTTAAACCTGTAAATCTAATACAGGGTTCATCTAGACAACATGTGAAATTGAATTTGTTTTACTTAATATTATTGTGGAGTGTACAATTGATACTTAAATGAAGACTTTTTTAAGTAAGTTTTTTAAAGATGATACCTTTTAGACATCTTTCATTTAAGTAATGAATCTTTGAGATATGAATGATTATTCTATTTGATAGTGACCATTGTGGTTTCAAGGTGACCATGACAGTTTTATTTCATTGCACAAATGTTTTCATAGTTTGCATATATTTAGAATTCATACAATATCAAGTATGACTTCTAATTATTTAGACTGTCCCCATGTCAGGAGTGCTACCTTGTCCAAACTGTGAAGAAGTTTCCCTTTGTATCTTTTATTCTTTGATTCCTTCTCATCCTTGCTTATGCTTCTCCATATTTTCCTCTCTGCACATTTCCACCCTAGAATCCTAACCTGCCACTTCCAACTATCATTCTGTTTTCATGTATTCAAGTTTCATATAATTATTTTTAAAGCTTAATGCCTAGGTTTCTGTTATGAGAAAATGTATATATTACATTATGTATATATTAAAAAATGTTTTAAAGTAGAGAAAAATTAAAAAGCAATATCAAAACATTAAGCTATTTATGATAAGACCACCTACTTGGTAGGTCTGTAATGGTGGCAAAAATTCTATATAGAATAAGTGATAAATGTATTGGAAATTAGAAAAGAGATAAGCCTGCCACTTTTATCTTCCCATTGACTATTTATTTATTCTACAGCCAGGTTATTTAGTTATTCTTCTAGAATCTGACTATGCTGATAGAATAGATTCTAAAAGAGAAAGAGAGGGTAATTAATCTTGTTCCACTGCATACTCAATCTTCAGTTGATTAGCAAGAGATAATCATACTAATCATTGTGGTTAATATTTGTTGGTAATCATCAGTTTCCAGATCTCTTTCATTTATTTAACATACATGAACTACCCAGTAAAGTTCTTTGGTCCTTCCCCATCATTGTAAGCCATCTCACGTATTGTGGCCACTATCTCTACTTAGTGATAGGTGAATAACCAAATCCATTGACTAAACATAAGCAAACTCTCCACAAACATAAAACAAAGACATACAAGTTACCAAGTCATTGGTAGCCATCTGGGAAGCACAAGAAAACCTCCCTCAGAGTTAGTTAGACTACATACACCAGGGAAGTGGACCCATCCCTATGAGAAGGGACCCAAAAACCAATTTTTATCTGCACTTAATTCTAGACATGATACTGAAATTCCAGTAAGTAACACCTTGCCTGAAACTTGATCTTCCTAGTTTTTCTGTTATATAAGTCACTTAAATTTTCATTTACAAATAAGCTAAATTCAGATTTTCTCTATTATAAATGTGCTCTACATAATGCAATGTTTTCCTATCAAATAAAATAAATGCAATCAACTGATATCAAAGTGGTCCTGACCAGATGGAAGAAAGTTTGTAAGGTCTATGTACAGAATATTAATTTGCTTAGGTCAAGGGGAAAGTTCAATATCTAGGTTTGGGTCTTCGAGCGAAGGTTGGATAGTTGACATAAATGTCCTCATTGGCATCATATACAGGTTGGTGGGTTGAGATGGGACTCCTGTAGTTGTTGGCTCCCTACAAAGACAAACACACATCAGCTGGTGTCAATAATCCACTGTATTTCAGCAGCCAATAAAGACATTCAACATAATTCTCTCAGTTCATCCATGACACAAGTCAAACTTCCACTACGAGTAATTTCATAAAACATTCCCTTTATTATATGGGGTTTCTGTTAGAAATCACATTCTGAGTTCACAGGACACTGAATGAGATGCAACCTCAATCTAATCTAGATTATTAGTTGCTCCACTGTGCTGTTCGTTACCTTTTTAGCCGTAGAATGCCCTCAGCAATGGTGGGCTTTTTGAGTAAGAAAATTATTTCTGTTTCTTAAATGAAAAGTATAGTATAGTATTTTCTCCCCAGTAGGTATTCATTAATGTCTATTGGATGAATGTCCTAAGAAATAAATGTTTTAAAGAACACAGTGTCCTAGCTTTAAAAATGAGCAACCACACACAATGAAAGAACTTGACAAAAGAGGTGTTCTCTTTCAAGATGATGTTCTATAATCCTTCATCTTCACTACTGTGATCAAGTTACTTTAATGACCTGTGTGTGGGCATGCGACAGAAAACACAGAGATGGAAGAAGACCAGACAGAGAGTAGAAAGAGACAGAGATTGAAAGAATGAGAAAGAGAGAATGAATGGGGGCGGGGGGGGGGAGAGAGAGAGAGACAGAGACAGAAACAGAGACAGAGACAGAGAGATCTCTTTTGGTGAATAGTTTGCAAATTTAGATGATTTTGGAGTTTATATGGAAAAAAAAGGAAAATTCAAGTGTCTTGTTATTTGTATGTCTTACCTTAAAAGCACAAAAGAATCAAATAGGTATATCCTTTAGAGTTCAACTTACTAAGTTTTAATCATTCTTCAAAACACAATTATTCTACAAAAGTCAAAATGTGTTAGATAACTAATGTAGATAGTAACAAAGTATCTTTCCCGCCTCAAAAGTTATAACAATATGCTTATCTTTGGATTAATGTGAGTACAAAAACAGCTAAGCACAAAAAAAAGCAATTCAAAAAGGAGAAAAGAAGGAAGAGAACAGAAAATATAGTAAGCTAAGCTAACTACATGACTAACTTCTATTAATTCATTGAAAAAAGGTTATGTGCTTATATAGTTTGTTCAGATTTTCATGCCTATATCTTGCAATCTGAGGACCTACTTTGAAGATAACAACATGTAGGGTATTAATCATTGTTAATCTCTATTATCTTGTTTTAATATTCTGTATCTTGTTTTTATTGCTTATTCTTTTTAAAATAAAAACAATTGTAAAGGATGGAACCCCGTTTACTGCATGCTAAGGATGCACATAAGACAAGACAAGTCTTCTGATTATACAGTTTGTTATGAAAAGCAAGCCAGGAGTTAGTGGAGAATTTCTTTTTGTTTTTCAGAGCGGTTAATGTTCAAAAATTTCAGGGGATAGGACATGAAGAAGTCTGATTTTTTGGTACCTTACATTTTAGCCATGCAAAATTCAAGTACAGATTATTAAAATGAAGAGACATTGACATAATTTTGGATAGCACTTGAGAAAATGTTTGTCTTGGTCAGTTCAAGCTACTATAATAGCATACCACAAAGAAGAATAAACAACAAACATTTATTTTTCACAGTACCAGAAGCTGTGAAGTCCAAGATCAAATTTCTACTGAGGCTTGCTTCTTGACTTGTAGAAGACCGTCCGCTCCTTAGTTCCAGTCTTTTAGTGCAGAAAGCAAAGACAGCAGGCGCTCACATCTCTTTTCATAAGGGCACTAATTCCACTACCCAAAGACTAATCCCCTGCCCCAAGGGCCTCCTGCTAAGACCACACACTGACTACTAGAATTTCAAGTTGTTAATTTTGGAGGAACACAGCAACACTTGATTGTGAAATTTAATAAACACAGTAACATGTGCTAAACATTGACTTATATAGTAAAGACAATGGACTTTAAAATAAACATCACTTTTCTCTGCAAACTCAGAAGGAAGACTCTATTTTATTAAATAGCACGGAGCAAAGTAGAATGAGGGGATATTTTTCATTCATTAGATTCCTACAACTGATGAGAAAGTTCTTTAACTTTATACTTTATATTCTCATTAATTAATTAAATTAATTCAAAGGAAATAACAGTAATGAATTTTATGCTATTCTTGAGTCTTTTATGTAATTTAATTTAATTTAATCTTCACAATAACCCTATGTCATAAAAAATAATGTTATGCTCTGTAAGGAGATGATTAGAGTCCCCTAGAAAACTTTTCCTTCTCAAAATTTCATTATGTAACTTCACTTGAAAATAAGATCTTTGCAGATGTAATTAATGAAGGTTGTACAGGCATAAATGGAGACAGTCCTTGGTTCAATAGCAACAATATCTTTATAAGAAAAGAGAAATAGACACAAGAGATACACCGTGTGAACACTAAGGCAGACATGAGATGTTTCTTGAAGCAAGACTGCCACGAAGTGCAAACAGCTGCCAGAAGGTGCAAGAACTCTGAGCAAATCTTACTCCAAAGAAGGATCATTCTTCACACCCTTGTATTTAACTTCGATCCTCCAAAATCAGGACTGAATAGATTTGTGCTGCTTTCAACTACTCAACTGATGTAATTTCTTACCAGCAGCCCTAGGAAACATGACCTAGAGGTTTGGTAATGCACAGTGCTGACTGTTATCATGCCAGTAGACATGCACCTGAATTTGTACTGATATAAAGAAGCACAGTATTGAAGGGTATAATAATAAGAAATAGGGCAAGTAACTGATGCTTGAATTACAAGCAACTGCTTGGCCAAGTTATTGAAAGGAAAATAAAAAATAAGATCTCTCACTGCAAACACACATCTTGTAAGACATTAATGAAACACAAAGAGAAAAGAAATAACAGTCACCAATGAACTCACCTTATTCTGTGTATCTGAGGAATTTTTAACTGGAACATTTTTCTGCCTCCTTCTCCTTCTAAAATATATATTTGATAGAGAATATTAAGACACTGTATGCCAGCACTAATATCCTTGCAACAACTTGATACCTTACCAAGTCCACAGCCCATTTGCACTTACTGCATAAGTAGGGTGACTACCAGACTGCCCACAGTAGATACCCACACAAGTAACCAACAGTCCAGTGATACAAACTTCTTTCCCTCACCCTGCTCCCTCCAATGTTCTTACAGGTGGTGAAGACAGTTATATGGCTGTCCAGTCAATATTAGTTATACATAGATATAGATGTAGATACAGATATAGATGTGATTATTTTATAATAGGCTATTACAGAAATGACTTACAATTTTTTCCAAATAATCTGGAGCTTAGAGATTTTCCATAATTGAAACTTATTTTAAATACAACAATGTAACTTCTTGGATGGTCATATTAATAAAACTAAGTTTTACAAACTTGTATAGGTATTGTTATGGATTATTTTATTTAGATTTCATTTGAGCTTTACTATGAACAGATTAGGAGTCAGATGTGGACAGGTAGAGGAGCTTGCCAAAAATCACTTGGTTGCTTAGTGGTTGTTCAGGAATTAAATCCTCAGTCCTCCTTTCTGACTCTGAAGCTCTACTTCTGCAATCACTTGGCTGTGTCTAACTGAGCCACACGAAACCACACTATTCAACTCTTCACAGTTCCAAGGAATCCTGTAGAGATGTAACTTCTGGGGAAATCTCAGAAAAGCAATATAACTGAATGCCAAGAAAAAGTAACGAGAGCCAAGTACATGAGGAAAGATATTAAGATGAGATTATGAGTATCTCTTTTTCAGATTTCTAAAAAAAAATCCTATTTAACAACAAAAAAGGTAAAATATGCAAAAATTGTAGGATTTTTCCCTTTTGGATTTTGCATTTTAATGTGAGGCTGTAATTCCTTTATAGCAGTCTTGAAAACAACAGAGCTTCTCTCCAAGGAAAGATTATTTAGTGATAGATATTGATTCTGATTCTCTCCTTTAATTGCTTGGATATCGTCCTTTCATGTCAATGTAATCTTATTTTATTCTATGTGCATCTGTTTATTTAGACTCACTATTCCTTCATGTTCTTATTCTATGTATAATTTTATGGTGCAATATTTCTGAGTATTTTATATAAATTAAGTCTTTTACTTATCAAAGGAATCCACAATAGGTCTGCTATTATCTTCTGTATACAGATGAGGCAGGAGAGACACAGCTCTATCACCTTTGGTTTTTTATTAAATCATAATTTATAGGGCTATCTCATGTATGTTGATAACTTTCCCCAATGGATCCCAATCTCTCTCTCTCTCTCTCTCTCTCTCTCTCTCTCTCTCTCTCTCTCTCTCTGTACATTTAAGGAAACCTGGAGCATACAATATGATTAATATTAAAAGATGCTCTGTGGTTAACTTGTGCTCTGCTAGTTATTTTCTGAGTGATCTTCATTTTTAAAGATCAGTCCACTCGTGTAAAATGAAAATAGTTCATATATTGAAGTCATTTTATGTTGACCAGCTGTTCTGTTTGTCTGGGACCAAGGTTTTTTCTAGAATGAACTTCTTTTCCAATGCTGAGCTGGAAAGCCTCAGGCAAAGCAAAACACCACATTTGTTGTGAATATCAACAGCAACAGCAAATATACAAATAAGTGTCTAACATTTTTCTCACTGCATATTAAGCTTCTTCTTACCAACACACACATCCACCTCTGTAATATTCCGTTTCCTTGCATTCTTACCAGTGCTGCTCCTGGCCCCTGTCCATGCTCATCTACAAATATTATGGTGCTGCTGTCTGTATGAGGAAAAACATACCCAGGAACACCGGGACTGATTCCAGCGTCCCTGGACATACATACAAACCACAAGGAGCCAGGAGTAAAGGAAGAATTTATTTCAGATCCTATACAAGTTAGCGTATCTGAAGCTACAGGACTATTTTAAGAGGTTGGGCAGACAGAGTTCCAGAGAGTCATTGCCGAAGTCTTTCAGTCATTTAAAAAAAAAACTGAAGTAGCAACCATAAACCAAGATCAATGACAGAAGTGACAGAAAAAGTACTCCTCTCCCTGGTTGAGTTCATCCATGACTATGCACTCGAATTCACTGATCTGTTCATCACATTTGACCAAGCTGTACAATATACTCCACAAATCACCTTAGCTTGTCTTGTAAAGCTAGGTGCATGAAGACATCCTGCCAAACACCTAACCTGTAAAAGGCCCATTCTTTCACTCATTTGCACTCATGCTGTCCCTCCAAGAGCACAATTCCTGTCACCTCTTCCTTCTCTGCATTCTTTATCAATCAAGGCAAGGCAGTAGAGAAATCCTCAGGGATGGAAACGCTTAGGGTCCTTACTCCATTTTGCTAATTTCTCAGGAAAAGCCTTAAGAGCACTCATAAGCGAGAAAAGGGTAAAATGATTGTCTCATGTTTCAATTTAATTAGATGCTTAGTGAACATCCATTACAGTAATGATCAAAATACAATCTCTGAATAACACAGAAGAGAAGAAACCATGAATATGATTAGAATACAAAGTGTGATACAAGCAGTAACAAACCAGGAGTGCAAAATGATGCCAAATAGTGACATCGTGTCTATTTGCAAAGGCAGAGAATCAGGACAGACCTCAACAGTGGGAACAAACATCACAAGAGTTGAATGATGCACAAGTTTAAGGCCAAGTATGAGAGAAGCCACATTCCATATGATATCAGGTGGGAAGATAACTGAGCATGATCAAAGAGTAAAATTTATAGTTTTCTAAAAAAATTTTTTCAAAATTATAGGAGGTAAGTAAGGTAAAAAGTATAAATGAAAAAGAAGGCACTGATCAAAATACCTTCAATAACGGATGGGGCTGATGAGCTTTAAGATTATTCTGCCAAAGGCAATGAGATAATTAAAGTGTTAAATATAGTGATGGCATCACCAGTCCAACTTTCAAAAGAGAAACTAGGAGAAATCAATAGGTTAGGAGAGGACTGATCAGGAGGGCAGGAGGGCAGGTCAGAGAGTATTAGTGCAATCAGGTAAACGGTGGAAGATATGGAGGTCCAGAGTGCAAGATGAGATGGAGGAACCTGCCAGGATTGCTGTAAGGAGTGCATGCATGTGCACATGAGTGTGCATGTATGTGTAACCTCTAAGACGAGAAAAGTAAGAATGAATGTGTTCAAACATATAGGAAGTTTTGGAGTTCTCTCAGACAAGCAAACTACAAACACCCAACATGTAATCTCTTTCATAATACCAAACCAATACGACTACAGCTGAGAAGTATAACAAATACTAGTCAAATGAGTTAGTAAACATAAGAGATGGAAGAAAAAGAAGGAATCAACCAAAAACATCCTAAAAATTTCCCTCAAGCCACAACACAGTATTTATTGTTTAGGATGTACTAAAATTTATAGTAATTTTAAATGATTATCCACCATCTCTAAGGCAAAACTATTCAGTTCTCTTCTCCATAATTTTTAATAGTAGTATTAGATTGCTTGCTTTAGAAAATATATAACCACTTGAAACCATGTCGTTAGCTTTTTAGAATGTGTGCTTCATTATATATGATGCACTGCTCTGCTCAGTAAATATCTGATGGATGAGTAAGTTATCCACCCCCAATTTCCAAGGACAAGTTTTTCTTTGATGGAGAAGCAGATAGGGTGGGGGCAGCTCAGAGGAACTGGGTGAAATACGAAGAGGCACACAAACAAAGCATACAAAACCTGGTAAACTATTGTAACTTTCACCTCTAAAATCACATACATGGGAACAGTCCTCAAACACTGAACAGTGCATGAGTGCTGAGAAAGCCTGACCAGTTGTTGGATTTTTAATAGAGAACCTCTGAAACCAGAACTATTGAGGCAAGCACGATTCAGGATATGTTGTTCTACTCACCTCATATAAAAAATGACAGTGATGGTGACAATTAGGATAACAAACAAGAACGAAACTGTCCCTCCAGCCACGGCAATGGCGTCCTGGTTACTGGCTTTCTCTAGGAGAAAAAAAAAAAATAGTAGGAATTAAGAATTCAATGAAAGCCACATGAAAAAAGTAAAACATGGAAGAAAAGGCACATTAATCTTGATAGGATAACAATTAAAAACCAATGATCTAATAAAAATAGGGTAGGGAAAGAGACAATTATTTCTGTAGAACTTCCTTAATATTTAAGAATTCCTCAGAATTTTATTAGTTTCGTAGGTGAGCTAGGAAACTTTACAATGAGTATATAAAACTTAAGAACAAGAATACAAACGATTCAATACAAATATCACTTCATCCCAATAATTCTCATCTAATGAACAAAATCCTTTGTTTAAAACTATTGAGGTAATGTATTAGTAAATGCTGTGTTTTGTGTCTGATATATTAAGCACACTCAGCCTACAATACTACGTAACTTGAACATTTATCAGAATTTTGTTCAAAAAATGTTTCTACTAGATTTGATAAATTTAACAATTAAAAAATAGTTAAGAAAAATATGTGACTGCCACCATATGTTATCTGGAAATGTACAATGGCCCAGGACTCTGAAGTTCTCACTCCAGGTCTGTCACTATTTAGTTGATGACTCCAGATAGTCCTTTACATCTTCTGCATGTGCTTTTTATCTCTGCTGGGTGACAACAATGACAGCAGCTCTCACTGCATCACAGAATTGGGGTCAGACTCTAATGAGCCATTGCTGAGAAGCTGTGAACCTGTACTCCTAGAGGAATGTCACCTCTAGAGCATGAGCGCAGAGATCAGGTTTCTCTTCTCACTATGGCTTTCTGCCCACAATGCACCTCATCTGTCCTCACTGCAGGCACAGAGAACAGCCCAGGTCAGTGTCTGCTGCTGGTAAGAATGGCATTGAAGGAAATCAACACGTTTGACCATCTCCTCCCAAGGAAAGGGAAAGCTATGAGAAAACGGTACAACGCCCAGTTCTTGATGTGGAGCCTCATTAACATGATCCCTGGGTTGTCTGACGCCTTCAACTCTTTCACCTTGTTTTCACTAGACTGTTTCTTTCTTCTTAAGTCACTATTCAGTTGAAAGTTTTTCATGGTAAGAACTCAATTCATAAGCTTTACTGCAAAGCAAAACTAAATAGACCATTTTTTGTATTTCTTTAGTGTAGATTCTAACTTACAAGCATTTATATAGTATTTTCTTTTTGTCCTTTGCTTATTTTACTTAACATAACATTCTCTGAATTGTTTCAAATGACAAGATTTCCTACCTTTATGCCATTGTGTGTATATATATATACACATATAAACACATACATATACACATAGATACATTCTTCATTAAGTCACCATTTGGTGGACACATGTTGTTTCTATATAATGAGCCTTGTGAATTATGATTCATAGATGTAGATATTTCTTCAATACACTGATAACAGAGGTACTGATAAATTGTATGATAGTTTTGGTTTAGTTCTTGAGGTACCTCCATGATGACTCTGTTTATATCCCCACCAATATTATACATGGGTTCCATTCCCTTACATCACTGCCAACATTTATTTTTATCATTTTGATAATAGCTGTCTTAACAGTTGGGAGGTATTATCAGATTGTGGTTTTGATTTTCATTGCCCTGATAATTAGTGGTGTAGTTCACCTTTTCATATTATTGACCAGTTTTATGCCTTCTTTGGAAAAATGTTTGTTCACATTTAATGATCATTTTTCCACAAGTGTATTTATGGATTTTACAGTGAAATGCTGAGACTTGCAACAGTATGGATAAACCTAGAGGAAATTATGCTCAGTGAAGCAAGCCTTAAACATAAAGTCAAATACAGAATGAATTCACTCATAGATGGACTCTAATAAAGATGAATCCATAGAAGCAGAGAATATAACAGTAGTTACCAGGAACCAAGGAGTCAGAGTTCAAAGTATATGAAATTTCATTTAGAAAATGAACACTTTCATGGATAATGTAAGTAATGAAGGATGTGTTAATTAAATTTATCCAAATATTACATAATATTTACATAAATGAAACCATCATGTTATGTACCTTAAATATATTTGATTTTTGACAATCATTATGATTATATATAAATTTTTTTTAAATTTGAAAACAATTGTTTTCTGTAGGCTTTCAGTATTTTCTAAATCTTCTAAATGCTATGTTGTTTTTATAATCAGGAAAAAAATAGTACAAAATTATAAAGATCTATACGTCTAAAACAGACTATTTTACCAAATTTCAGTGGTTCCATTTAAGGGGCAAGATATAGAGAACTGCCTTTTTAGAAGTAGACTCAGAATCTTTAAGAATTAAAATGATTTTATCTTTACCAAGTTGTAAATTATACAAATTTAAAAGTAAAAACCACTTGAAAGTATGACTATTTGTGTCATACTGCGAAGTCATAAGTCCAAATTTTAAAGTTTAAATTTTAAATCTATTTTAACCTCTTTTAGGTATGTCTGATCTCTAGGAATCTCATCCATTGAACCATTCAGCATCTAAATGTGTACTATTTCAAGGTGTTCTGTGTAGCCGTACTGATAATAAGACGGTGCATAATGACAAATTTGACACTTGATTTAGTGGAATTTATATTATTTGAAAAGTCCTCCACAGTTTAAGAACAGGCATAAAGCCAGCAGTTTCCCCTAAGGGACAAGTGTAAAGCTTGGAGTAAAGCCAGATGTGCAGCTGTGCACAGGGACCAGCCAGTCTCAAGCCAGCGAGGCCTCCCACCACTCCCCGCCCTCTGCCTCCAGCTGTGGCATCTACAGCCAGCCTGGTGCTACAAGCCAACTCCTCTGGCCCTGTAAGATGAAAGAAATAAAAGAGCAGATAGAAATGGATGCTGTAGGGAGTTGATCAATAGTTTATAGCATTCACTTTTTCCTTAAGTTCTTCTATTAGATCTTCAGTTGAGTAATGTCTGCCCTCAAGCCATTTTCTTAAAGAATTATTGTGTGTTTTCAGTGACCACATTTTGCTAATTTTTTTTTTTACCTTACATTCCAATGCCCTGCTGAATCATGGGAGGACAGAAATGTCTTGAACCATAAAGTTACTATTTTTTCTCCCAGTTTGAAAGATAAATACTGTTAAAATAATTCAAAGTGAGTCAGTGAAATTTATAAATGAATAATTTACTGCAGGCCCATGGCCCTCTAGGCTAAGTTTCTGACAAGTATTTATGGCCAAGTCATAAACCTTTAGGAATGTCTCATGATAGAAATGCTGCTGGGCCCTTCCCAAAGAGTCAAGCGGGCAGAGCAGCCACAAATGGCTGTTGTTTCTCCTATATTAGAGTTCAGAAAAGAAAAATGAAGAGACCAATTAATTTGGAACCTGAATAAGTAGGGCAAAAAGCATGACAGGAAAAACATATCCTGACTCTGTAAGCAGCCCTGGGTATGTATCATTTAAAATTACTCTCTGACTTCATTAAAAATATAAGCAGAAATGTTAGATCTCATCCTCTGGGCAGTAAGTTCAGGTAGAGAAGACATGTCTCTTCCACATATCAGGTGTTTCCAAGTGTCAACTGTTAACATGATGCTTAAAAATATCCCGCTTCACCTCGCATTAGACCCTGGTTGTTTGAAAGGCAGACACTGAGGAGGGAAGTTGTAGGGCTCATCCTGTCTTTTAATTCTGATCCCTAGAAGATCTTACATAGGACACTTAATCTCTTACTTTTTGGCAGCTACAAAATGATGATGAAATCAACCCTAAGAATTGCTGTGGGATTTAAATAAAATGTATATAGGTAGTTTGAGTACTTTAAGCACCACATAAGTTTTCAGTAGCACACATTACATTTACACTAACATTTAATATGCACACATTCCAAAGTAGAACTAGCTCATTTCTCCTCTTCTCATGTTGAAATAGTGTATTGAATTAGTCATAAATGACAAAAGATGCTTGCTCTTACAGTTAGACTCACTTTTCTGAGGAGTTGCACAGGTAGTGGTGACTAACATACATAAAGTAACTGCAGTGTTGGAGGATCACAGGAGATAGCTAGTATTTCAAAGTTTGTGGGACTGCGCACCCGAAATCTGTGTCAGGTGGATGCCGGTATGGTAATACTATGCCAAGTTTCCTAAAATCACCTGTGCAAGCAAATCAGTTTAAACTTCATGTTTCAGAAATCTTTCCCTATTTATTGCAAAGTCATAGAAAATAAATGATTCTCCAAGAATTAAAAGAACATGACATCAACCTCCAATCTACTGTTCCTTAAAAATCGTCATCAGACTTTAACAGAGAAGCATAGGCACAGAGAATCTAAACAGTGCTCCTGTGATTGCACAGCAGGGAAGAGACGGAAGCAGGTTTCCTACCTGAAGTACAAATTGTGCTACTCTTTGCTTTACTTGCTGGGAAATGGTTTTCAAAATCGCTTAAGCACGTTAAAAGGTGATGTCAGCTCAGAAACATGTAGTCCAAGAGCAAAAGTGAGTTTTACCTACAGGATGAGTACACTAGTAACATCTTCTGACACCACAATGTGACATTATGCTGCACTACAGGGCACAGTGCTCAAGAACACTCCTCGTGTGGCAAGGGCGTTTAGCTGGTAGAAGAGGACAAAAGACTAGATAACATGTTTCCTTTGGAACAATTATTGAAAAAACTTCAGGCCAGACCGATTATATTAGATGTTTCATCTTCATGCCCAAATACTTATTAGCTGGTATTATACTTCCCACACAGACTTCAGTTTTTATAAACACGCATTAGTCTAATGCATCACAGGTCAGCATGTCAAGTACTGCACAAACCCTGCCCATCTTCCTGGAGAATTTGCATACAGAGGAGTCCTAGGGCTGCAAGCCCACAACAGCCAGGTTACAAGGCTGTCCCTTGCCTAGCAAGGGAGAACTTGGATTTTTATTTCCTTTTTATCTTTCTTGAACCAATGAAGTTTACTGTATTTAACTTTTTGCATCAGTGTGACTCGTTCTAAGTTTCTTCTCTTCTTCTGGAACATCATTTAGTCCTTCTGAC